CATTGGCTCCTGTGTGCTCTGGTCAGACCAGTCCCTCTTCTTGAGAGGTAGCTTCACTGCTGTCCTCTGAAGTGAATTCTTCTGGGGGGCAGGGTGGTGCTGTCCACTTAGTTGGTAATGGGGCCGGCCCCTCAGGCCTCTCTGTCAAGAACCACCAATCTTTAAGTTCGCTCCACCGCGCCACCAGATCTCCTTATTAAACCACCAGGGGTCTTTATAATTACTATAAAATTCAGTCACTGTAAATATGTATAATCACTGTGCAAAGCGATATGTCCCTACCTCAAAATACTGAGAATAGAAATTCCATATGATCCAACAATCTCTATGTTGGTAAAGAAGTAAGAGGCATCACATGAGCGGACATACACACAACCATGTTCACAATAGCAAGAAAATGGAAACAATCTAATGCTTGCCCATAGAAGAATGAATAAAGAAACACTGATACAGGTACACAATGGAATACGATGCACTGCTAAAAAACTGATGAAATCATTAAGCATCCTGTGACATGGATGGACCTGGAGAACATTAGGTTCAGTAAAATTAGGCAATCACAAAAGGGCAAATATTATATGAGGCCGCTGATATAAAAGGGGGGAGGAAAGATAAAAACTTTCATATCAAAGGGCACAGATTTTGGAGTTTGTTAAAAGGGGGGTGCAAAGGAGAAAGGAGAACGTTGGAAGGGAAATCAAGAATTCTCTCAAATCGTATCTCCACCTAAGTTACAATAAAAATGAAAATTCAGCAGGTAATACAGCAGGCTGCTGGTTAAAGTCCACAAAACCTGAGGTTAGATGACAAGCCCAATCTAAAGCAATAGTCCTCTACTATTACTGGTACCCACTTTGCTTATTTCCTGACATCATCTTCAATCTTGATAAGTTGCTTATTCCCTCTCCCCTCCACGATTGTATTAGCTTCTCAAAGCCAGGATGTGGTTGGTCTTTCTCACAGCCTAGAACAGCGTCTGATCTAAACGATGTTTGGTCAAACTGCCTTAGGTCAGTTAATTGAGAAGATATCATAGAGTACTTCAAATCCAACTGAGATGATAGAAAACGTATTATACTATTTGGGCCTACACCATCCTAAATCCCTTGAGAAGTGAAATCATTGATATTGGTTAAGAACTTTAAATTTAAGAATCAAAAGGAATTTAACAATGATCTTATGTCCAATCCCTTCATGTATGAATCAAAAAACATGACCATACCACACCTTGGATTGGTTCTGGTGAGTGGTTTCTGGGGGCCCAGTTCAGGATTTGTGCATCTTACCCAAGTTCCTTGGGGCCACATCCTTAGAGATATCCTGGTGCATCCCAAATGACCAAAAAAAAAAAAAGAAAGAAATGCACTCAGGAGGCCTCTTTTTAAAAGAAAGGCCTAAAATTAATAATTACTTTAATTTTTTAAGGCAAAAAAGGGCCTCCAATTTCTGAATGTTCTATGACTGGAAGAGACTCTTACTCCCGCTTTTTAACTTTCCTGTGGTCAATAGTGGTTCACACAACCTCTTAGTTGTTGCAGATCCATCCTTCATTTTGATTCATTTTCTAGCTTTTACATTTTTCTTCGGATTATTTATTGTATGTTCCCCTTTCCAAATTTCCTGTTCACTTCCCTTGTTAACTTTCTAAATTCGTGAGCCCTGTTACTCTTACTGCTTTGTAACTGGGACTCTTTCTATAAGGAAGTGTAGCTATTGGCCAAGATCCTCAGTCTTTTAATATTTAGAGCAGACTGAATCTTACCCATTTCCTTGGGTTAGGGAATGTGCTATACTTTCCCCAAGACGTGGGAAACATTGGACCACTATGTGTCAGAATCAATTCCTTGGCAATGGGTAAAATTAGTGAGGGGAACCCTGGTGGCGCTGTGGATTAAGCCCTGGGCTGTGATTTAAGCCCACCAGTTGCTTTGAGGGAGAAAGATGAGGCTGGCTGTTTCTGTAAAGATTGCATTCTTGGAAACCCTTTGAAGCAGTTCTATCTACTCTGTCTTACACGGTCAGTTTTATTAGAAATTGATTCAACTGGTAGCAGACTTGATGTTAAGGGGTAAGATTTGAGAAATTTCTTCAAAAGTTTTTTTCTTCTGGTTATCTCTCTCATAGAAGAAGAGATGCTATTCGAGGCCAGATTAGGCATGTGAGTGTCCTACACACTGATAAACTATGGTGCCACTTCCTCTGCTTATATGCCAACCAAGTAGGGACATATGCAGGATGTATATAGAGAGGTGGGGTGGTAGCTTTCCATGGTGCAACTTGATTGTGAATGTATCTATAATATTAGAGATGAAATATCAAAGTGGCATATGCTATCTTCGCAGAATGAGATGGACTGAACTACAAAATTTCTAGTGTATGTGGAATACTATTTTTTTTTACTGTAAACCACATTTTTACCAAAATAATATTCCACATCTTCTACCACAAAGAAAACAAGTTAATAAGCTTCGGTGTTTCAACTGTCACTGTAAAATGCTGTTGGTCTCCCACAATGCAAAATGGGCTTTCACCATTTTGCTTTATATAGCGGATACTTAAATTTTGATGCTTGGTTCATAAAAGTGGACAAAATGATAAATGACCAAATAAATAACATCAAGCACTGTGCCCCACACAACAGGGAATAAAAGACAAAACTCACTTGCTATATAAAATGTTTTGTATTAGATAAATATTAACATTTCCAGTATTGGGGGGACATTTGCTATGTTAGTATTATGGTAAATTACTGTCCATGTCCGCCGCTTGTCTGTCAGTTTGTTGTACTGTGGTGGCTTGCGTGTTGCTGTGACACTGGAAGCTATGACACTGGTATTTCAAATGGCAGCAGGGTCCCCCAAAGTCAACAGGTTTCAGTGGAGCTTCCAGACTCAGAACAGACAATGAAGAAGGACTCAGCTCCCCGCTTCGGAGGAAGGGTCCGATGAAAACCTTATGCAGAGCTTCCAAACACTGTCAGATACTGAAGGCCTAATGTATGGAAGCAGTGAATATCGATGGAAGGAGTGCGGGGGAATGGGTCCCTCCTGTGGGAGGCCACTCAACATCTGACTGAAGAGGAGCTGATTTCTCAGAGTACAGTAAACCATGGTGAGATGAGCCGGAGTAAGCTTGCGGGAGTAGAGCCTTTGGGATTTTCATTTGCACAAACGTGGATTTCTCCAGATGGAATCGATAGATATCCAATTGACTACAACTATGGAAGGAGACACTGGAGAAGCCAGCACCTAAAACCAGACAAGGGGCGGACTGTGGAACAGACCATCAATTGCTCGAATGAAAGTTCAGGTCAAAGCTGAAGAAAATGAAAACAAATACACAAGAGCCAAAATATGACCTTGAATCTATCCCGCCTGATTTTTGAGAACATAAAAAAAACCCCAGATTTGACACATTGAACACTAACAACAACATAAGACCTGATGAGCTGTGTTACGACATCAAGACCATCGTTCATGAAGAAAGCAAAAAGTCAGTAAAAAGACAGGAAAGAAAGAAAAGATCAAAGTGGATCTCAGAAAAGACTCTGAAACTTGCACTTAATCACGGCGTAGCTAAAGCAAATGGAAGACATGATGACATCAATGAGTTGAACAGGAAATTTCAAAGGGAAGCTCAAGAAGACAAAGCAAAATATTGTGATGAAATGTGCAAAGACCTAGAATTAGAAAAGCAAAAGGGGAGAAAACACTCGGTGTATCTTAAACTGAAAGAACTCAAGAAAAAATACTGAATGGTGCAGGAAGCATCAACAGAAGATGGCAAGAATACATAGTCACTGTGTCAGAAAAAAACAGTCAACAGTCCACCATCTTAGGAGGTAGCATATGAACAAGAACCAACAGTATTGAAGCTTCACTGAAAGAAGTAGTCAAAACAAGGCTTCAGGAACTGATGAAAGACCCATTGGAATGTTTCAAGAAGCCGATGAAGCATTGGAAGCATTCACTCATCTATGGCAGGAATTTGGATGACAGCTACTGGGCCAACTGACTGGAAGAGATCCATATTTGTACCCATTTCAAAGAAAGGTGACCCAACAGAATGCTCAAATTACAGAACACTATCACTGATATCACATGCAAGTAAAATTTTTCAGAAGATCATCCAGCTAAGTAACCTGGTGCAGGGTGCCCCTGTGACCCCATGTAAACTGTACTTCCAGCTGGCAGGTCCCCATGCACTGGAGCTGGTATCCCCTTCATGCCATGCCCTGCCAGTTCCCTGCCACAGTGATGCTCACTTTTCCTGGTGCTTTGCCTGCCTGGCACCTCTGGGTTTTTGCTCTGGACAACTGGTGCCCCTGTTGTGTGAATGGCCTAAGTACATGCTTACATTGCTTGTTGGGCAGTCCATAGCTGGTGCTGTTCAGTCTGAAACAGGTAAAAGGAGGAGGAGGAGGAGGAGGAAGAGGAAAGCAAGGAAGAGAAAGAAGATGGGGAAGAAGGGGAGGAAGAACAAGGGAAGGAGGAGTCCATTTTTCAGATATAACTTTGTACTTATTTGAGGTCCAGTGTTTTGTTGGGTGCTGTCCAGTGAATTCCAACTCACAGTGATCCCATGTGACAGGGACAATTAAAAAAAATAAAAACAAGAATCCTTCAACCAGCCTTGAGCTCACCTTGGTGGCTGACATCAATATGTAATTATTTCAAAGCCCCCTGGTGCTCTTGACTTTAAAAATAAGCCAACATGTGGGCTACAGCCCGCACCAGACAGTACCTGTGGGCTCAGGTAGATGGAAACCTAGTATGGCTGTGTCCATGAAAGAGCAGCATTTAATGTCAGAAACAATGAGCAATAGACTCCATCCTTAGAAGAAGCAATCTCTTTCTTAGCAACCAAGACCTCGGCAACCGGAAATCTCAATGAACGGTGATGACTGCCATGTATTCTTGTGCTCAATGAACAGTGATGATTGTCATGTATTCTTGTGCCATTCAGCGGCTTTTTAAAATTAAAAGACAGGGAAATCATCATTGTAGCAGAGGGATTTATTCAAGGATTTATTTATGGAAGGAAGGAAAGTAAGAAGAAAGGCGATGGAGACATGAACCAAGTCCAGAGCGCAACTTGGAATATTGACATTCCATCGTCATCTTCTCCTGGCAGGTTTAGATGAGTCCACATGGTATTCAAGATGTCGATCCTTGAGTACTTGAAGATTATGGGTCATCACAAAATACCACCCGATTTTCTTCACTCTACTCCACAGTCTTTTGTTAAACTTTCTTAACACAAAGAGCTCCAATAGGAGCAGGCTTCTGTTTGCCCCTTGGTTGGCGGGTTGGAGAGGGAGGACACTACATTAATCAGAAGTTTCCACTTCCTTTTGTGTTCCTGATGACTTCACCCTAACTGGCCGAGTTCATCTGAGGATACTGCCAGTCTAGCTGTAGGACAGCTACACTAGGGGATCAGAGGGCAGCAAGTGACAATGTGCTTATTTCTGAGCATCTTCTTGTGGACAGTGGGGACTACTGGTAGAGCAGGAACCTTTCCAGTGGCTCTGGCAGGCGTAGCTGGTGGACGAGTTGGTGGCAGGCTCGACCCAAGCACTTCCGGACACAGAGGCGGCAGAGCTGGGAAAGAGAAGGTGGACCTGCAGAGGAGAATAAGATAGCGTCAACCTCATGGGGACAGGGGCTGATCAGGGAACTGGCAGGGGCTGACCATTTTCTAAAAGCAGAAGTGAAGTTGGATCTGAATAGAAACTACAGAGAGAGGTGGAGGTTGGTTGTGGGCTAGCATCGAGTCAAGCCCTGACTCCTGGCCAGCCCACGCACAATGGAACAAAACGCTGCCCAGTCCTGGGCCTTCCCCCATGATCTGCTGGGGACTCCGAGTTGTAACCCACAGGGTTTTCATTAACAGACAGGTCTTTCTTCCTAGTCTGTCTTCATCTGGATGCTCTGCTGAAACCTGTTCAGTGGTATAAGAACAAGCATTGGCCAGGAACCTCTGACATAAAAGATGAGAATTCTACCAGCGAACCAGAACTGCTCTCTATAGCTAGGTGTTGTTAGGTATCATTGAGTCGGCTCCCACCCATAGCGACCCTGTGCCCAACAGAACAAAACAGTGTCCGGTCCTGCACCATCCTCACACTTGTTCCTGTGCCTGAGGCCACTGTTGTAGCCACTCTGTGGGTCCATCTCGTTGAGGGCCCTCCTCTATTTCACTGCCCCTCTATTCACCGAGCACAATGTCCTTCTCCTTCCACCACTTGTCCATCAGTCTGTCATACTGTGGTGGCTGGTGCGTCGCTGGGACGCCAGAAGCTATGGCCCGGGTATTTCCCATGCTAGCAGGGTCACCCCAAGGGAACAGGTGTCAGTGGAGCTTCCAGATGAACAGACAATGCAGAAGGAATTTGGCTGTCCATTTTGGAGGAAGGAACCGCTGAAAGCCTTATCGCGAGAGAGCAAACACTTAATCCACACAAGGGATCCCAATTTGCGGCTCTGAAGGGGATGCTTGTCTCTCTGTTGGTGCTCAAATAGTACCGGTACCACTGACACCAAAGAATCGGGTTAACCAGACGCAGTTAGGAATGAAGCGTATGATGTACATGGTCTCTGGTGCTGGTGAGTCCATCAGGGTGGTCGCCGAGAAAATCTACATGAGGAGCACTGAGTGTGCTGGACCTGAGGCCAAGCTGCCGGGCAGAGATGGCTGTGTCGAGCGGGCCGGGGCTGTACAGTCACAGAGGCAAGGTGGAGATGCACCCAACACTCAGGCAGGGGGTGGCGGGGCTCCCAGGCCCTCCTGGCTCTGGCTCCAAATGAGACAGGGTGGAACCCTCAGACCAGCAGGGTCTGCACCCCAGCGTAGCCCTGCTGAGGCAGTATCCGCTTCACAAGAAGATACCGCCTCCCCCACCCCCACCCAGGTGACTCCTCTGCACCTGAGAGTTTAAGACACATGGATCTAGAGACTGCTTCTAAAACGATTAAGCCCAAGGTACCACTTGGAAGGCTCATCTGAGATGTGGGGGAACACTCACAAAATGGCAGCCGCAAGGGAAACCGGGAGCCCCCTCCGCTGGGCATTGCTTCAAAAGGGGTAAGCGGGTCCTTTGGTTTTCAGCCAGGGTGGACAGCATAGCCAGTCGTAGCCCCCACCCCCCACCAGGACAAAGAGAAAGGAAGGGGAGTCGTCGAGGAATGAGATGAGAAGGGAGGGAGCAATCTGCCGGTGGCTAGCCTTGGCGGGCCGGCCCGGCCCAGCCTCACCTTCCCGGAGCAGGAGCGCCTGCTCCACGCTGCTGCTGGGTACTGCCAGGTCCAGCGCGCTGCTTCCCTGGGCGTTCCTGCTCTTCAGGTTGGCACCGTAGTCTGTCAGCAGGTGGATGACCTCGGCGCTGTACTGCCGTGCGGCCGCATGCAAAGGAGTGTCCAACCACTGGCCATGGTTGACGTTGGCTCCTTAACCAGATACCATAAGTTAACACACACTTCCCCTAAAGTGTTGCTGCTCTCGTTGCTAGCTGTTGACCAGGCAGTCTTCAACTGACGGCAAGGCCAGGCCTTTCTTCCCAGCTCCGCTTAGTCTGAAAGCTCCTCTGAAACCCATTCGGCATCACAGCAACAATAAGCCTTCACTAAGAATTGGGGTGACTATCCATGAGGTGCATTGGGAGGAATTGAACCCGGGTCTTCTGCATGGAAGGTGAGCATTCTACCATGGAACCCCCACTGCCCATGTCTGTTGTGATACCAGCTCATTGATTCTGACTCATGGTGACCACATGTGTGTCAGAATAGAACTGTGCTCCATAGTTGTTTTAATAGCTTATCTTTCAGACACAGGTTGCCAGACCTTTCTTCCCAGTCTGTCTTTGGCTGGAGGCTCTGTTGGAAAACCTGATCAGCAGCCTGTCAGCAAGCAAGTCTCCACTGACAGATGGTGGTTACTACGCAGAAAGTGCATGCAGTTAAGTCACATAGATGGTGGGAATTCTATCACTGCCCTCTAAAATGTCACAGACACACACACACACACACACACACACATCTTATATGCCTTAAGGTCTTTAACTTACGCCTAAGATCTCAACTTTGTGACAAAAGTAATATAGAATATTTTTAACTTTAAATATAGTTTTACTTAATTTCTAATATTAACTAAAATAGTCCCCATGCAAAATATATGGTATACAAAGCAAAATATTTGAGATTCCTGTTACATAATTGTTTTCATTATTGGGTAAAGGATAAAACTAAATTTAGTCGGTATTTATATGGTTCAAAGCTCAAAATACAAGATAAGCCACTACGTTGTTGCATGCTGTCAAGTCACTTAGGACTCATAATAACGCTGCATTACAGAATAGAACTGCCACCATCCGGGTTTCTATACTGGAATCTTTGGAGAAGTAGATGGCCAGCTCTGGTGGGTTCATTTGGCTTAGCAGCCTCACTTTGAACCATTGTGTCCCTAGGGCACTTTGAACCTACCATACAAAAAACCACAGCCCTTGAGTTGATTCCAACTATGGTTCTGAGTAGAAGTTCTCTTAAGGTTTCCCACACTGTAAAGTTTTATGGGAGCACGTAGTCTCATCTTTCTCCCATGGAATGGTGGGTAGGTTTGAACCATTGACTTTCCAGTGAGCAGCCCAGCGCTTAACTCACTGTGCCACTAGGGATGCTTATGAACCTACTGTCCCACCTAACGCCATCAAGTCAATCTCCACTCCTGTCACTCCATGGAGGGCTTCGGAGGCTGTGAAACTTTATGGGAGCAGAGGCTGTGACTCTTTACGGGAGCAGACAGCCTCAACGTTCTCCCCCAGGATGGCTGGGCTCCCTGTGAAGTGACCCTAAAAAGATAGCAAGTGAGGAAAGGCAAACAACTTTTTAGAGATAAAAATTCTCAATGAAAGGTTTTTCACTGTGGCCTCTCCCTTTATGTCAGTGGCTAAGCTTGAAGAATCTTAACCAAATAATAGTTTCAAGACTTTTACTTTCCCCTGGGCTCTCGATTTCTATAGGTGCCTTCTAGAAGGTAAGGGGGAAAAATCAGAAGTGACAACATGATTGAGGTAAAATAATCTGATGAATATCTGCTATTTTTACTACCCAGCATCTTCCTGTTGACCCCACCCCCCAACTTGGGATTCTCCGTTCACGTGCTTGCAGTGAAGCCCAGCATCTGCAGCGCAGAAGGACATGGACACCTACGCCAATCAGTGCATTGCATGCCCTTGGCCACCATGAGTGGGTCAGACATAGGCATGTGACTCCAGAAGAGCCAATGAAATACAGTGAGTCCCCTTTCTGAGACTTAAGGGAAAGAGAGTGTTGTTTTTGTTTGCTGGGTAAGGATGAGGAAGGCTAGCAGGCTAACTATTGCTGGCAGCCGTCTTGTCTTGTGACCACAAGGACAAACCACACCAGATTTGATTCAACAGCACAGGAAACAGGACTGAGAAACACATACACTCATTTTTCTGGGAGAATGTCAGTTTCTAGCATTCAAACATCGCCCCATTCTGTCAAGAACTTCACCTTTGAAGCCACAGAAGATCAGCATGGTTAATAGGCTCTCCTCATGAAAGGTTTCTAGAACTTACCTAATTCTAGAAGTTTCTTCACACAGTTTACCCTCTGATAGGTGCAGGCCACGTACAGAGGAGTTCCAAGTTGAGGCACTTCTTGGTCAATGTTAACATTATTTGCCAATAGAATCTCCATGCACCCTCTGTGACCTGGTGAATAAAAGATAGCCACACTCAAGCAAGGGAAACGTTGAAGTCACAGATGTATAAGGTTGTGCGAGAAATGGGCCTTATAAATAAGCTAGATTGTTGTTGTTGTTGTTGTTGTTATCAGAAAAAAATGAATCTTAGGTTAAAAAAGAAAACAAACCAATTCCAACTCGTGACAGCCCCTTGCATTACAAAGTGCAACTGCTGCATAGGGTTTTCTTATCTATAATCTTCACAGAAGCACATTGCCAGGCCTTTCCATGGCACCACTGGGTGAGTTAGAGCTGCCACCTTTTAGATCAGTCGTCAAGGAAAACCAACTGTATGTACCACAGAGAGACCTTTAAACTTCAAAAAGAAATCACCCCCACCTCCAAATAAAATCATTTTAAAAAATAAAGGAGCATGTCTGTATTTCCTCAACTTAAACTCTACTTTGAAGATCCTGAGGTCCTTAAGAGGAGCTCTCGTGGCATAGTGGTTACATATTGGGCTGCTAACTGCCAGGTCGGCAGTTGGAAACCAACAGCCACACCATGGTAGAAAGAGGGGTCTTTCTACTCCGGTAAAGAGTTAGTCTCAGAAGAAACTCAAAGAGGCAGTTCTACCCTGCCCTAGTGGGTAGTGGGCAGTGAGTTTGGGTTGGGGTTTGGTGAGGTCCCCAGTGAAAATAATTTCCTAGCATAAAGTCAGTCCCCACTTTACAGATGGAGTCTGCAAGACCCAGAGGGAGGAATGGCTGGCCTCACTGTTTAGCCTGAAAAGCCAGTGGCTCCACTACAGGGCCCAGCCCTGTGCCCGCCTATGTATGTGAGCACAAATATATGTTCTGCATGATGCATGCACATGCACACACGTGTGTGTGTACATACTTTCATGTTCAGCGACTCACAAGAAGTAGGAAAGCAAGCCTTCACTCTGAAGCAATGAATAAACATTAAACTGTGGCATAGAATGTTCCTGAAGTATGGAAGGAGCTTCTGAAAGTTTATTCTCATTATAGATTTAAATCTTTCCTTGAAAAATGTTATCATCACTATCTGAGTCATCTAGTGTTCTGAAAAGGGGTGGCTTTGACAAAGAGAAATGTCTTTGGGCACCGTTTGAGAGGCTACACGTGTGCATTGTGGGTGCTGGCTTACCCTCTGTGTGTCAACTGGAGGAAGAGCCTGGCCTTTTCTGAGGTTTGGCTTCTGCTCCACCTTCAGAAGGCTTTGCATCTCTTTCCCCCATCTCTCCTTCCTAGCTTGTTTCATCTCTTTGATATTTCTAAAGAGAAGACTTAAGAGCCACCCCACACCGGTCTTGCCTCATTAACATAACAAAGACAGCCCATTCCCAAATGGGGTTATAGCCACAGACATAAAGTTAGAATTCACAACACATATTTTGAGGTCACATAATTAATTCTGTAACTATCATTCCTTAACTTAAGCAACCTTTTCTGTATAGAGAATTTCAAAGTATACTTCTTGATTAATTATAAATTCTAAGGGAAGAATAAATATACATTAAAGATTCTAAACCAGGAGTCTATAGATTCTAATTATTTGCTAGCATAGGTAAATAGTAGCACTCTTTTACAATATTAAATATTATAATTGGCTGATAATATGCATTTTATCAATTTTATCAACCAACATTTACAAAGTGTTGGTTCAGTGACCTAACTTGCTTATGGAGTTTTAAAGTATATGAATTAATAAATAATATCTAATTATTACCTTAATAAGCCTGAAAAATATAAACCAAAAAAAACCCTCATTGCCATCGAGCTGATGCTGACTCACAGCAAACATATAGGACAGAGTAGAACTGCCCCTGTGGTTTCCCAAGGCTATAACTCTTTACAGAAGTAGAAAGCCCCACCTATAAATATTCTCAAGAAATTTTAAGCATGAATATATAAAGTCAAATGATCAGCACAAATATCGCAGTATCTTTAAAAAATAATAACTTGCTATTCATTCCTCCATTCCATGGGCTTTAGGAAGGTTTGGCAGCATTTTTCCAATAGCACATGCTCACTTTCTGTCTTGGTGTCATATCCTGGTACTGCTCACAATAGTTGAAAATTTCTCATAATGCTCTTGCACGCTTAGTAAACTGCTCCTCGTTATGTGTAGCATAAACCTAACTTTGCCATGCACTAAGAAACCCCCAAATTCACGGGCGTTGCTGCCTTGTGCTCTCTGCTTGATTCCGGAACAGAACCTGCAATCTCTCTGAGGTCTGCTTGTATGGTTTTAAATTCCTGAGAACGCAGGAATCCGGAGATGACGTCAAACTTTCCAAGGCTATGTTTTCAAGTGTTGCAACATTTTCCCTGTTGTTTGTTTGTTTGTTTGTTTGTTTTCCCATAACCATGACCTTAAATGCATCCGCCTATCTAGCGCTTGCGAGTTGTGGGCAGTGATGTGCGATGTTCCACTAGAGGCAATGTCAGCCTTGGCTTTCAGGCCTATTCATAATTTATTTTCTGTGAGTGGCTGATGTTCTCTGTGACCTTTGGTGTGAGCTATTTGTTTCTACTAAGGACAGTGCCCTACATGCAGCACAAGAAAATTGCTGTGTCGGCCACACCAGCTGCCATCAAAACATAGCAAAGAGACTCAGGAAATGGGACAATGGAGAAAGGAAGATGGTGCTGAAGATTAAGGCCAACTGCTCGGGACTTTATAAGGCACACCTGTCCCAACAGTGAGAGGGGCACAGGGGTCCTCGTGGGGTGTACAATGAAGATCGCCTTGAGCCCACCGTGGCCCTGTATGCAGTGTGGGGGCTGCCTTACCTCTCTTCACGGCCTCGTGGATGGGGGATGACAGGTGCGCCTCCAGCTGGGCCTTGGCGCCAAACTCCAGCAGCACGTTGACACAGGCGGCGCTGCCGCTGCAGCACGCATTGAAGAGCGGCGTGGCTCCGTGCACCGTCACACCATTGACCTAATGAGGGACAAGGACAAGACCACAGGATTTGCTCTTTCTTTCTTGCCCCCTCTGTGTGTCCCAATGTACCTGCCTGGCCAAGTCTCTGAAGGGGTGAGGAGCTTCATGTCATCACAGGCGTGGGCATAGTAGGCACACCTACCTCGCTTGTCAGGAGCCCTGAGGGCAAAATGAGTTAAGCACTGGGCTGTGACTAGGGAGAAGTGGCCGAGTCTGCTTCTGTAAAGGTGCCGGGCTAGGAAACCAGAAGGAGCAGAGCTACTCTAGCCTATCAGGTCACTAGGAATCAGAATCAACTCGATGGCAAAACGCCAACCCTCACTGTCAATCCATTGATTCCAACTCACAGCGGCCCTATGGGACAAAGTAGAGGTGGCCCCTGTGAGTTTCTGAGACTATAACTTTTTTTTAATGTTTTTTTTCTTTTAAATCATTTCATTGGGGGCTCTTACAGCTCTTAAAACAGTCCATACATCATTTGTATCAAGCATATTTGTACATATGTTGCCATCATAATTTTCAATTTTAGCCCTTGGTATAAGCTCCTCCTTTTTTTAAAATCGTTTTATTGGGACTCATACAACTCTTATCACAATCCATACATACATCAATTGTGTAAAGCACACTTATACATCTGCTGCCCTCATCATTCTCAAAATTCGCTTTCCACTTGGGTTCCTGGAATCAGCTCATTTTCCTGAGACTGTAACTCTTTACAGGAGTAGAAAGCCTCATCTTTCTCTTGGAGAGTGGCTGATGTTTCCCAACTGCTGACCTTGTGATTAGCAGCGGTGCGTGTAACCCACTACACCATGGGTTTTAAACGAGTTCCTTTCACATATCCTCCAACACATGATGCCCCATGCATGTCAGAGTTAAAATAAGGTTTCCAAGGGCTGCATGTTTTTGGAAGCAGGTCAACGGATCTTTCTACTCAGGTGCCTCTCGGTGGGTTTGCACTGCCACCTTTGCAATTAGTAGCCAAACTTGCACCATCCAGAGACTCCTGGAGTTTCTTAAGCATCTACTAGTCATTGAGGGAAGAAGCCCTGGTAGCATGGTGGTAATGTGTTGGGCTGCTAACTGCAAGGTCAGCTGTTTGAAACCACCAGCCCCTCCAAGGGTGAAAGACAGAGCTTTCTATTCCCATAAAGAGTTACAGTCTTGGGAGCCCACACGGGCAGTCCTTCCTGTCCTATAGGGTTGCAATGAGTCGGCATTAACTCGATGGCAGTGAGAGAGAGAATCATACAAGAGCGTGCCTTAGTGGTGCTCAGAATCATGGCATCTGTAATCATTACCTGGGGCTCAAATTTCAGCTCTCTCTCTTGATTGTTCAGTGGTCTTGGTTGGGTTATTATCTTTATGTGCCTCAGTTTCCTTATCTATAGAATGACTATCATAAAAGAACCTCCCCCACAAAGTTTCTGTTCAGATCAAGTGAGCACTAGGTAAGAGATGGTAGGCACTAGGAATGTTGCCTGGCATCCAACAGGGATTCAATGAAACTTTACAACAATTATTTCCATCTTCCATTAATGTGAGCAACAAATATTACAAAAAGCAAAAGTACTGGAGAAACCAGGTTGCTTGCTGTTGTTCTTAGGTGCTGTTGGGTTGGTGCGGACTCACAGCAACACGATGTACTACAGAATGAAACAGAATACCGCCCCGCCCTGTGCAGTTCACACAATTATTGCAGCCACTGGTAGTCCCTGTTCTATGTCTTCTTTAGAAGCTGGTTGGAATTTCTGGCAGCTCTCTATTGATGGACTACTGCAACTGCTTTTTAATTATCTTTGATCTCATTTTTTTTCCTGTCTCATAAGTGATATTGTGCTCTCCTCGTGTATGTTTTTGATGCCATTACACAACTTGTCTGGTCTTTTGTCATTAGTGTTCAATGTGTCCAAAATGTTCGTGAAATTTAGATGGCATAGACTCAAGGTCATGTTTTGGTTCTCATGGACTCCTTTTCCTTTTTAAGGTTCAACCTGAACTTGCATATGAGCGGTTGATGGTCTGCTACATAGGTGGCCACTAACCTTGTTTTGCCTGATGAGATTGCATTTCTCCTGCTTCTCTTCCCACAGATGTTGTTAATTGGATTCTGGTGTGTTTCATCTGGTGAAGTCCATGTATATAGTTGTTGTTAATTTTGTTGAGAAAGGGTATTTGCAATAAGGAAGTTGGTGGTCTTGCAAATTCTATCATTTGGTCCCCAGCGTTGTTTCTATGACCAAGGTTACATTTTCAAACTACTGACCTTACTTCTGTGTTTCCAAGTTTTGCTTCCCAACCACCAGTATTTATCAATGCAGCTCGATGGAGTATTTGACCAGTTTCAGATGGAAGGAGTTAGAAACATTCTTCAATTTCTTTGCCATTAGCTTTAGGGTTGGGTGTGTAAAATTTAATAATATTCATATTACCTTGTCTTCCTTGTAGGTATATGGGTACTGCCCTTTCACTGATGGCATTGTACTTCAAGACAGATCTTAAAATGTCCTTTTTGAATTTGTGATTCCCAGCACGGTAATCCATATGATTGTCCGAGTCAATGGCCAACATCTGTCCATTTTCGCTCACTAAGGCCTAGAATGCTTGCGTTCCATTTCATTTTTGATGACTTCCAATTTTGGACTTCATACAAACCAGGTTCCAATGAATGCATGCTTGCAGTTGTCTCGTCTCATTTTGAGTCATGGGGATACCGGAGGAAATAGAGGTGGTCTGCTCTTCATCTGTGCTGGATATGGGACATGGTTGGAGATTGCATCTGTCTAAGACTTGGTTTGCAGAAAAACTCAAATGTAACAGCCACCCCCCTCCTTGCAATCAAATTCTCGTTTACACTTAAGAATGTTCTAATTCAGCAGGTTTGGATGAACAAAACTATCTGGGCATATAAGCCTTTTAGATAAGGGACGGAGCCTGAGACCTTGAGGGAGTGACAGGATGCCTCCCGCTTCTGTGAACCAGGCCTCCTTTATCTCCTTGCTGAGGCCCTCTGTGCACTGTAACAAACCTGGGAAACATTCCCTAAATTGTTAGTTGCCATCAAGTTGGTTGCAACCGATAGTGACCTTATACATAACAATGAAACACTGCCCAGTCCTGTACCATCCTCACAACTGTTCCCATGCCCAAGCCCATTGTTGCAGCCCCTGTGTCAATCCATCTCCTCTTTTTTGCTGCCCCTCTACTTGACCAAGCATGAGGTCCTTCTCCAGGGACTGGTCTCTCCTGACATGTCCAACATGCAAAAAATGAAGTCTTGCCATCCTTGCCTCTAAGGAGCATTCTGGCTGTACTTCTTTCAAGACAGATCTGTTTGGTCCTTTTAGCAGTTCATGGGACTTTCAATATTCTTCTCCAGCACTACAATCCAAATGTGTTGATTTTTCTTCAGTCTTCTTTATTCAGTGTCCAACTTTCACATGAATGTGAGGCAATAGAAAATACCATGCCTTGGGTCAGCCTCACCTTCATCTAAATAACATCCAAATAACATCCTTGCTTTTCAGAACTTTTGAGAGGCCTTGTGCAGCAGATTAACCCAATGCAATGAGTAGTTTGATCTCTTGATTGCTGCTTCCACGAGCACTGGTTTTGAATCCAAGCAAGATGAACTCCTTGAGGACATCAATCTTTCTCTATTTATCATGGCATTGTCTATTGGTCCAGTTGTGAGATTTTGGGTCTTTACATTGAGTTGTAATCCATACTGAAGGCTGCAATCCTTGATCTTCATCAGCAAGTACCTGAAGTCCTCCTCACGTTCAGCAACCAAGGTTTGGTCACCTGCATATAGCGGGTTGTTAATAAGCCTTCCGCCAATCCTGATGCCACACTCGTCTTCATATAGGCCAACTTCTCCGATGATTTGCTCAGCATGCAGATTGAATAAGTATGGTGAGAGGATACAGCCCTGATGCACACCTTTCATGATTTTAAGCCCTGCAGCATTCCCTTGTTCTGTTAGCACAACCGCCTCTTGATCCATGTGCAAGTTCCACATGAGCACAGTCAAGTGTTCTGGAATTCCCAGTCCTCTCAAGGTGCCACATAGTTGTTGAGGGTATATAGCTTGCTTGCCTTTCACTGAATTTTTGGAGCAGGTTTGGGAGGCTTGAATTCTGCAGCTTCCTTCTGTCAAGTGCTTGCAGAAATAAACTTAGAATTTCTCGAATCAACTTGGTCTCTGCATTTGGCTCAAACCATCATCCTGAACCTTAAAAGCGGCATCAATGACCATTAACAACTGAAGGTCTCAAAAGCTTTGCTCCATCCTTGTCATTAAGGTTGGCTCTACATGGATGAGGCAGCTCTTCCTCAGGTATATTTTGAGTGAACCACTATATCAGACACTGTTCTGCTATTCAGAAGGTTTTCAGTGACTAACCCCTCAGAAGTCGACCGCCATTTCCTTCTTGAGAGTCTGCTCTTAGTCTGGCAACTTCTCTGAGACCTCTTCACCATGGGTGACCCTGCTGGTATGCAGGGGCTTAAGGCCCCCAAATCTATGCTTTCCAAAATCTCCTTAGCAACTCCCTACAGTGCAACCGATCTCCTCTCTGCTCTAGTACGGTGTGCACAAATTGCCTGTGCCTACTAGGACACTGAAAGAGATCATGACCAAGCCAAAGACATGTGAAGAAGAGGCATCCCTGTGGCACCTGCAGTTCTCCTCGATGAGAACCAGCAGAGCAACGGCATCCCTTAGTCTGAACCAGAAGTGGGAAGAAGGACAGGGGACCAAGGCCTCAGGTAGGGAGGTTATGAGAGGATTGAGAGTAGGACAGTGAGGTTTTGGCCTCAAATGATTTGGCATCCTTCACCGACACCATGTTGTTGTTAGCTACCATTGTGTCAGCTCCTGATTCAGAGTGACTCCCTGCACAATAGGATGGCTCAGAGGGTGGTAATCCATAGGCTTCTCACTGGCTGATTTTTGGAAATAGAATGGCCGACTTTTCTTCCTAGTGCAGAAGCTACGCTAAAATCTGTTTATCATCCCAGGAACACACAAACCTCCACAGACAGATGGGTGGTGGATGGGTATGCGGGGCCTTCACCAGGAATCACACCCAGGTCTCCTGCACAGAAGGTGACAATCCTACCACCAAACCACCAGTGTCCCCATCGCAAGTGCTTGTGATAATCAGGAATCTAAATGTCCTTGCTTCAGAAATGAAAATGATTTGTCTCCTGGGTTTCAAGGTATTCCTCATTTGTACACTCTAGGGATTTCCAACCTCTATATTTTCATTGAAAAGTATTCAGTGGATCTGATTTAATTTGGTTTTACTAAATAGCATCAACTTTTTTAGTCTAAGAAGTATGTTTTACTGATTTCTTTTAAGTTTCTACCTCGCTTCAGTTGAGGACTTATTGAGCCAAAATGGAAGGAAAGATGAGTAGACCATTGCTTCTCCTTGAGTAATTTGAATTCTGCCAGGGAAGACAAACACAAAAGGATCATTTTGATCAGTGGTTAATGCTAGAGATCACAATAAGGGAGCACAAAGGAGGGCACAGACTTGAGATACACTGAGGACAAAATCAGCAGGACTGTGTGATTAATGAGATTTAAAGGAAGACTTAGGATGACTTCCAGGTCTGGAACTTGGAGGCCAAGAAGCTGTTTCACGTAGTTTCTCAGACAGGGAATCTAAAGCAAGAAGAAAGCTCTCAAAGGAAGAACACGATAAACACAGTTTTGAGTGTACTGAGTGTACTGAGCTGACATTAGCCACAGAATAGCTAATTCTTGGGATTGAACAACTTTCTCTTATTCGTTCTCTAATCTGATTTAAATGTTACATGGTATAGTGTAGTTTTTGTTTCCTGTTCTCTTCTAAGATTGCCAAAGAAAGGGACCATGTCTTTATTCTTTTATTTAAACAAACAAATCAAGTCACTTGCTCTCAACCTCAACTCATGACAACCCCAAGTGTGCAGAGTACATGTCGTCCACAGGGTTTTCAAGGCTATAACCCACCCCCCAGTAGATCACCATACTTTTCTGATTAGTCACCTGTGGGTGGGTTTGAACCAACAACATTTTGATTAGCAGTCGAATGCTTAACTGTTTGCATCCCTCAGGTTCTCTTCCCAGGGGTGTACCAGTGCATACTCCCCTGAGACCCTCTCTTGTTTAATGTTCCTACTAGGAGTCTGCTTGGGACACCAGTCACCGAATTTTAAAAGAAATGCCCCTTGAACAACCTTGCCTTCCTCATGACCTGTGAGTTGAAGCACTTCATGAAAATTCCCTCAAGGAAAGGCCCTACCATGGTGTCGTCCTGAAACTTTGTTTGCTCTAGGAAGACTTTTTAATTCTATTCTATGTGTACAAAGCCAACTTCTATGAAATGCAAAGACACTCCTCACTGTCTGCTCAACAGTACTTCAGTTCGTGAAGCAAAGGATCCATGGGCTGAGTTAAACAACGAAATGAGCAACAAAACCACGGTGTGCGGACACAGAAACACACGTGTCAATGAGATGGCTCTATTCTGCTACCTGTTTTTTAGGAGAAGGTTTCAAAAAGTTTATGGAAAAACAGAATCAATAACTAACAGAGACAGTTCACCAAATAAGACATCTTGGTAGCTAACAAACATGAAGAAATGCGCCCAATCACTAGCCATCTGAGAAATGCAAATCAAAACAATGATGAGATACCACCCCACATCGACATGGATATCCAAGTTCCCCAAGCTGGCAAGAACAAATGGTGAAGGGGGTGTGGAGAGGTTGGTCCTGTCATCCACTGCTGGTCTGACTAACAAACTGCGCAGCCCTTGTGGAAAGGTGTGGAGTCTCCTCAAACAACAGGGACTAGAAATACCATATGACCCAGCACTCCCTTTACTTGATGTGGACCCTCAAGATGTGAGAGCCATAACATGCTCTCCATAACATTTGCAAACCAATGCTCATCGCAGCCCTCTTCCCAATAGCAAGACGATGGAAACCACCTCAATGCACATCAGCGGAAAAATGGCTCATTAAACCCTAGTGCACACACACAATGAAACTGTGAAATTCCTCATGGCATAATGAATTTGGAGAGCATTACACTGAATAAAGTTCGTCATCAAAGGACTGAGACCACTGTTATGGAAGAAAGAAGCAAGACAGAAGTTTTTCATACCAAAAGAACCTGGCTTTGATTGTTAGCCATGGTGGGTGGGGACCAAAGGGAAGAGGAAGCAGTAGGCTAGAGAGCAGACAGATGGTAGAGTGGCTGAAGGGAAGGTGCATGCTCGACAAGTGAAAGAAGAGGGCAAAGAGGGTCAGGGAAAGCTCTTGGGAAGTTTGGAAAGTAGCTGAAGTTATTGAATACAAAAATGATGATCTGGAATCGAAACCTCCACCTGATTCATAAGAAAAAGAAAATGAATTTACCATCAACTTTTGGAAGCCCCCAAAAGTCAGACCTCAGTCCCTCTGAGAACAATCAGGATATACTTCAAAGTCAGGTAACGTTTTATTGTTCTTCCCCATGTATTATTTATTAAAACCCCATTCAGCTTGATGCTTTAGTTAATAACAAAAACATTGTTGGCTCAAGGTGTTGGTTTAGGTATGGTTCTTGCCCCTCTTTGGTGGCTGTTTTTAAAAGTTTGTTCTTTTGGACTTTTTACGGTAAGTATTCCAAGATCAGTTTTCGTAGTACTTTAATTCAAGCTGATTCAATGTCGGGGGTTTAAATGGAGAGAAAATGTTTTGAGAAACGATGTACAAATGCGCTTTACACAATTGATGTGTGTATGGATTGGGATAACAGTTGTATGAGCCCCTAATAAAATGTTAAAAAAGAGAAAAAAAAACCCAACTCAATTTTAAAGGGTTTTTTGTTCGTTTGTTTTTAAGCCATCACAATTTTGAAGGATTCCTGAGAATAGTCTCATCTGAATATTTGCATAGGGACATATCCCCCAGTGTCCTTGCAACCTGTCCACACCCACAATGCATAAGGAGTCTAGCAGGTACTCAGCAACAGACTCAAGTGGACAGGGTCATACTCACATGTGCGCCATTTTCCAACAGGGCTTTCGCACAGGCCACGTGACCTCCAAGACACGCCTCATGGAGCGAAGAGACCCGGTTAATTGTCACAAGGTTCACATTGACACCCTACAGTGTGAAGAGAATTAGGTTAAAGGCTACATTTGTGATAGCAACAAAGGCAATGTTGTTCAATGCTTCTGAAGTGCTCCAGGCCCGCAGGTCTCGCACTAGCACCACACAGAAAGGAGGGGAAACCTGGATGCAGAGTTTAGGCCCGGCATGTGTCCATTCCACAAGTGCTCGCTCAGCAGGCCAGCCCAGGCACTGTGCTAGGCACTGAGTCTGCGCAGCTTCCACAGTGGTCTTGCCCGTCTAAGAACCTAGTGAGGGGGCAGATGTGAAAACACACACAGCAAGAAACTGGCTATACTGGACGCAGGTTCCAATTCCAGCTGGGAGCATGGAGAGAGCGTTGAGAAGGAAGAAAGGAGCCTGCAAATGGAGGTGGTGTTTAACTAAGGCTTAAAAGAGAACAATTTTCAAGCCAGACAGACCAATGAAACTTTGGCATTTGGAGGGAATGGAATATGCAAGGGCAAGAAGCAACACAGAACTTGGAGCCAGAGCTCTCATTGAATAGTGGGATATTTCTGGGGTAGAAAGAGTCCACTTGTAATGGAGACATGAACAAAAAGCGAGGTAGGAGGTGGGGGAGGCGAGGAAGGACAAGGGAGCTCGTTCCAGATCATGGGAAGCTCTGATTTCCAAACAGGGAGTCTCTGTTTCCTCGGCTTGAGGCTTCTTCGAGTCCTGCTTAACGCTGGAAAGGGTCTGGAGCACACGAGGTGTTTGACTGAGGGGTGTGGAATTGAGGGCCCAGGCCCAGGCCACGATGGGCCTCAACAGCAGTGGCTCCGAGGAGTAGAGGTTCAAGAGGTAGACTTGGATTTGGAACAGAAGAGTGACTTTCAGGTTTAAGATTAGGAGGTCAAGTAGCTAGTGCTTCCAGGGTTCATCTGCCTTGGTAGCAGGCACCACTACCTGTCCTGACTCCACTGCCTAGAGAGATGTCTAAAATACCAGGGTCTAGGCCCACAGGCTTCTGCTAACCCTCATCTTCCCTCGGCACCAGTATCCCTGGCCAGTCCAAGTGACTTCCCTGACTCCAAACTGCTGTCTTCCACCCTCCCCTTGTTGGAGTTCATGTGACATGTGATAAGGTCCACCTGATTTTTAACACCTTGCCCTGTACTATCTTGCCCCATGGCTACCATGCTACATCCCTGACCCTACCTTATCTTCTCAAGTTGAATCTGACCTTAAATTCTCTGTCTCATAAATCCTGTCCTGGAAGCTTCAAAAAACCCATGCCATGGCAGGGAACCCAGGTCCTCTTTGGTGCTGGCTGTCTCCTTGCCTTGGGAATCCACACAGCTGTCTGTCCCTTCATGGGTGTGTGTGTGTGTGTGTGTGTGCTGTGTTTCAAATTGGTATTTTGTACGTGAGGGTCTAACTGGTATTTCATTCCAGTTAGAAGTACTATATTTTTCTTTTTAGAATTTCCTTTTACAAAAAAACGACATGGGAAGGACAAATCTAGGAAAGTCCTCTAGAGGGCAGCAGTACACTAAAGAAAAACTTCCAGATTCCCTGCATTGTAGAAATGAAATGCTGGCCCAAAACACCATCTAGAGGTGAATAATGTGAGTGGTTCATGAGAAGATGGGGAAGAGAACATCCCAATTCTTCCAAGGCGTGTGCTTTCCCAGCTACGGGTGACAGCTAGACTGATAATCAGGAGTGTGGTTTAATGTTTTACTCACAGCACCCCACGCTATGTAAATGGAAAGAAAGCCAAAGGATGAAATCTGTTTGTGACGTGAACTGGGGCACAAAGGTGGAGGTAGAAGTCTAATTTTTTTTTAATGAAGAATTCTCCTTGTGCAGTTTAATGGTAATATATAAACTAACATATATATGAAGTGAGGTTAAAAATAGCAAGCCTTAACTGTAGGATGGTAGGTTGGATTCAATCCTAGAAAAAAGGACTTTAGCGGGGAAACAGGTGAAATTCCAGTCGCCTGGAGTTGGTTAGTAGTATTGGACCAAGGTTAATGTCTTACTTTGACTAATGTACTATCGCTATATAAGAGGAAGCTGGGTGAAGGGGACATGAGAGCTCTGTACTATCGTTGCGACATTTCTTTAAGATTATGCCAAAACAAAGAATGATTATTTTTCAATTACAAATGAAAGTCTAAAGGCGGATGACTGAGAGAAAGGAGGTGAATACAAGATTTTGTTTTTGCTTGTGTTCCTTTGATATCATCTTCAGTTTTGGAATGGTGTGAATTACATATTAAAATGTATATCTGAACATTTTAAAACCTAGCTTTACATCTATCTAAGAAGTCGGTGGCATAGTGGTTACGTGTTGGGCTGCTAACTACAAGGTTAGCAGTTCAAAGCTACCAGGTGGGCCGAGGGAGGAAAATGAGGCCTTCATCTCACCTAAAGAGTTCCAGTCTCAGAAGTCCACAGGGGCAGTTCTACCCTGTCCTATGGGGTTCTTATGAGTAGGCATAAATTGAGTGGCAGTGAATATACATCTGTATATGAAACTATATTGCACGTTAATATTGTACATTGAATTACATATGACATGACATATAGAATTCCATGACATAGGAAATTGCGTATTATATCTTCAAACCATCAAAAGGTATCCAAAATCCATGATAAAAGCGAATGCATAGAGATATTGGTTAATATGCTGAGCTACCTCCAACAGAATAGGGACACATTCTTGCATTCATTCCAGGGCTCCTTTCGAGGTCTCTGCTCCCTGTTCAAGGTGCTGGGGAATGAGTCACGAACAAAAATCGATAACATGGTCTTAATAACAAAGATCTTATTGATGACTGTGCCTCCTCTTGCCTTCAGACCTGACACTAGGGTTTTAGGTCATCATAAATAAAAAATTGATTTTCTTCACTCAGAGAATAATAGAATAATGGGTTTTATCTGACTATTCTCTGAAATTTGCGGAATCAAACAGCTCCTAACAAAATTTTTTTAAATTAAAAAAAAAATAACAAAGATCTTAAAGGTTCCCTGAGGAATGAGACTGGTGTCAGCAGCTGCTAGAAGAGCGCCCGTGGTCCCTGATGCCTGGTATTAGCTCCCTTGTGGAGTCTCCTCCCCTGGAGTACAGATAGGCTGGTCGATTTTGACTCCCTTATAACCTATATAATTTGGCAGCGGTGATGGAATTTTATTGCGGTCATAAGGTTCTAAGAAGGACTGTGGCTTCCTTCTTAGGCTCACACTCTGGCTGGACGAAGTCAGCTGACATCTCATGAGGGACTAACCAGCAAATCAAATTAAGTAGAATGTACTTGGAGAGATCTTTGTGGGAAGGAATTGACGCCCTGGTGGCTCTGTGGGTAAGCACTGCTAACTTCAAAGTCAGTGGTTCAGACCCACCAACCACTTCTTAGAAAAGAGAGAAAGCTGTCTCCTCCCATAAAGACTTACAATCTTGAAAACTCTGTATAGGGTATTAGTCAAATCTACTCCACGACTGTGGGTCTAGCAGCCACTGCAGGAGTAATTTTGTAGGTACATACTTCCCCAATTGAGCCACCAGATGACTTTAGCCCTGGTCAATGCTTTGATGGCAACCTGAGAGAGACCCCCAAAGCCACCCAGCTAAGCAGTTCCCTGCCCCCACTGCCCCATATAACCCATCAGCTATTGAGTATCTGTTGTCCCCAGCCATTATCTTGAAGTAATTTGTTATGGCTGATGTCGCTCAGAGTTATTGTCACTAATGGACAGACACTGGGCAGGTAAAAGGTGACTTAGTGCAAGGGTGATTTGAGGGTCTTTCCCATCATCCTTTTCAGTGAAGCTTCCTAAGAAGCAGTCCTGGGAGAAGAGCAAGGGAACTGGGCAGAAAAGAAGCTGGCTCCTCAGGAAGGGGGAGTCAGAAGAAGGAAATGGTGAGGGACTAGTTCAAGGATGCAGACCTTTAGATGGCCGCTCGTGCTGTTGTGGCGCTACAGCCAAAGCTACTGCAGGATGGAGCTGGATTCTACCATGAACACGAAGTGCTGGCCTGGCATTTACTTACTTGTGCAATTAGAGTTTTGAGGGCCAGTAAACGACCCTGGGCAGCAGCTTCATGAAGAGGGGATCGGTCTGCCCAGCAATCTGCAACACAAACCAAACTCAGAGTTAACCTCTGGAAACTTCTTCTTGTCATTTGTCCATGCTAAGCCATTGTGAGGGAAGGCTTGGGGGATAGGAGAGGGAAGCACGTTGTTTGCAATGGGATCTCCTGACAGCCCCTCTCTGAATGACAAGTTACTGAGTGCATAGAGGGTACAGGGAGGGGTTTTCCACCGAGCTCTCTGACTTTTCAGAGGCAATTTCAGCAAGTTATAGACTGAGTGCAAATAACTGTTGCCCGGAGCTTGACTCCAATATCTCCGAATGAGATGCAAGGCAGGACAAAGCTTGTTCGTGAGCTTCCACCTTCATCCTTCCTATCTCAGATCCACCAGCACTGCAATGGCCTCATTAGCCCCTGTGCCAGAGAGGAACGGCAAGTTTGGGCAAATGGCTTTGTTCCAAATTCACTATAAAAGAGTTTCTGCTTCATTTTGGTAAAGACAGGTCCATATTACAGAGTGTAGTTTTTTCAGCTATAGTCCCCTTTCAGTTCTCCCCCACATCGCTTACAGCAGGCATTGGAGTGTGATGGCTGAGGAAGGGGCTCTGTGGTAGTTACATAATCTGGTGTCAGTTTGGAACTTGAGAGGATTAAGAATGAAGGGGGGGAGTCTAGTCTGTCAATTGGGTCATAGCCAATGTGGCCTCTGTGTGATCCTGGCCTTCTCCTGAGAATTCTGGAACTCCTGGATGAGAACCCTGGACATGGAAAAGCCACAATGGAGATCCCTGCTAGCAGTGATATGCTTACAATGCCACTAGATCCAAAGACTTTCTACCCAATGGCCTGTAATCATCCTGTGCTCAGCATCATTGCATGTGTTTCCTGAGTCTGAAGAGGACTTCATTGATTGGTATCAGACATATGGGCTAATATCAGATTTATGGGCTTGGACTGGACTGGGCTAGGATGCTTCTTTTTTTCAAAAAAATCATTTTATTAGGGGCTCATACAACTCTTATCACAATCCATACACACATCAATTGTGTAAAGCGCATTTGTACATTCATTGCCCTCATCATTCTCAAAACATTTCCTCTACTTAAGCCCCTGGCATTAGGTTCTCATTTTTCCCCTTCCTCCCCACTCCCCCTTCCCTCATGAGCACTTGATAATTTATAAATTGTTATTTTGTCATATCTTGCCCTGTTCGACGTCTCCCTTCACCCACTTTTTGGTTGTTCGTCCCCCAGGGAGGAGGTCACATATAGTTCCTTGTAATCAGTTCCCTCTTTCCTACCCACTCTCCCTCTACCCTCCCAGTACCGCCACTCACACCACTGGTCCTGTAGGGCTCATCTGCCCTGGGTTCCCTGTATTTCCAGTTCCTATCTGTACCAGTGTACATCCTCTAGTCTAGCCACACTTGCAAGGTAGAATTCGTGTCATGATAGTGGGAGCAGGGAGGAAACATTTAGGAACCAGAGGGAAGTTGTATTTTTCATCATTGCTACATCACACCCTGACTGGCTCGTCTCCTCCCCCAGACCCCTCTGCAAGGGGATCTCCAGTGGCCTACTAATGGGCTTTGGGTCTCCACTCCGCACTCCCCCCATCATTCACTATGATAAGATTTTTTGTTCTGATGATGCCTTATACCTGATCCCTTCGACACCTCGTGGTTGCATAGGCTGGTGTGCTTCTTCCATGTGGGCTTTGTTGCTTCTGAGCTTGATGGCCGCATGTTTACCTTCAAGCCTTTAAGAACCCAGACGCTATACTTTTTGATAGCCGGGCACCATTAGTTTGTATATAAAATAAAAATTAACATAGCTTAAAAAAGAGAAGCCGAGAGACAAGCCAGGCAGAGGCAGGGACAGCAAATCCAGGTCAGCTCGTGACTTCACAAGTTACAACTGGTTTCCAATAGGACCAAGCAGAATGCATCCTTTCAGCTCATCTTAAAATAGACTTTTTTTGCAGAAAGTCAATAGAGTTTTTTAATTTCTTACCTGCAATTGTGAAATCCCCCACACTAGGAAAACCAAGTGTCTCCCTAGGTTGGGTGCAAATTCCCAGCAAAACATGGCCGGGACTTATGGTAGGCAATTTATTATTTGTAATTTTATGCAAAAACTAAACCAAACTACTGCCATTGAATCTATTCTGATTCAACGTGGCCCTCCAGAACAAAGGAGGACTGCTCCCTAGGGTCTCTGAGACTATACACCTTTACAGAAGCAGCCTGCCTCATCTTTCTCCTGTGGAGTGACGGAGAGGGTTCAAACTGTCAGCCTTTCAGTTAGCAGCCGAGTACTTCATCACCGAGCTACCAGGGTTCCCCATTTTACGTTCACTTGGTGTGAATATGTGTGATTATGGAGTGAGATAGTTAAAGTTTATTGTGCCAACCTGGCTGATAAACACATGTGGGATTAATTGAAGGGCAGAGCGATAAACTAGAAAGCCTCGCCTTTCTAGTTCTCTGTTCTCTTGCTTTGTGATGGTCGGACCAGGGTGCAGCTGCCTTAGCCAGTTCCCTGCTTCAGCCGGCAAGGCTCACTTCCTGCAAGACATCCCTGAGGAGAAGCCATATGGACCTACCCCAGTGCAGCTCTGGGTGCTGGAGCAGCCGCGTGGAGACCCCTGCCAGCACTGAGATGCTTACACACACATTCACTGATTCGGCTTTCCTCCTGCAGTTGGTGTCATTGCATGTGTTTTGTGAGATAGAAGAGGACATTGTGGTTTGGTGTCAGACATATGGGTTAATGTTGGACTTATGGGCTTGGGCAGCACTGGGTTGGGATGTTTTCTTGATGTGCACTTACCCTTTATATAAACTCTCTCTTATACATGCATTTCTGTGGATTTGTTTCTCTAAAGTACCCAGACTCACACAGGGAGGCAGTGTATGCCAGACCCCCTGGGAGTGCTGGGTCATAGACAGCATCTGCACTGTGCGAGCGCTGTACTTTGCAAACAACCCTGAGTTGGGCAATGGAGCAGGCCCAGGGGATGGGGAGAGCAGTTTATCTGCCTGTAAATATACTTGGTTTTTGTCAAGTTCAAGGATGATTCTAGCTCCCATTCTCGATTAGATTAGCAAAGGCTACGAAATCGGGCAACCCTTCTTTTTAGAGAGTGCGACTCTCAACACTGCGAACCCTTCTGTGGGCTAAGGTGGGGTCTGCTTGGCCCTCAGGCACAGCACCAAGGGGCTGGGATGTTTTCCAAGAGCTGAAGGCGATGTTTCAGACCCCCAAACAAGCACACAATGAGGCCTGACAGCCAACCTCAGCTGAACACCCCCACTCACGTGAGTCATCTACTGATTTACATGTTTACATCACAAAGACATAGGAGAGAGTGTATTCCAGGAATGAAAATCCAAAACTAAACGAGTCTCCAGCCAAAAGAAAGGATATTTAAAGAGGAAGAGGGTGCTAGGTATGCACTCCAAGAGAAATGATTGTTGGTTGTCCTTGCGCTGACCCAAGCTCATCGTGACCCCAAAGGGTTTGCAAGGCTTTGTCACCTTCCAGAAGCAGTTCACCAGGCTTGTCTTCTGAGGCACATCTGAGTGGGTTCTAACCCCTAACCTTTCTGCTAGTAGTCCAGTGTTTAAGAATTTGTGCCCCAGGGACTCCTTCCCGAAGAAAAAGTGCTCAGGACAATTTTTAACAGGCCTGACCTGGCTTCGGATGATGTTGACACTCGTTTACTAGAACATAATATGCTCACAGAGTCACAAAACATCATCTGGGGCTGAGACATCTGTAAACTTGCCACCTGACGGATTAAATGGCTAATGGATAGCAAGGTCATTTCAGCACTGAGCGGATCATTTGCATCATTTTCTTTCTTGATTTTTACTACATCTAGTTCTAAATCTGTAGTATTCCATTGCTAACAGTGGTGAAAAAGAAACTACTTGAAATTCGATCACAACCACTGTTTCTGACATGTTATTAACTATTACAGAAAGGCTTATTTAATAAACCTGGACATATTCTCTCTGACCCAACAAACCAAACCCACTTCCTTCGATTGGATTCTGACTCATAGAGAGCCTGCAGGACAGTGTACAACTGCCCTGTGCATCTTAACAGGAGTAGAAAGCCTTAGCTTTCGCCTGGAGAGCAGCTGGTGGTTCCAAACTGCTGACTTTGTGGTTTACAGTCCAATGTGTCATAATATTGGGTTTCTGGGGCTGTATATCTTTACTGGAGCAGACAGGCTCATCTTTCTGTCTCAGATCAGCTGGTGGGTTTGAACCTCTGACCTTGAGGTTAGCAGCCCAATGTTTCCCCAATTAAGCCATTAGGGCCTCCTTCTGTATGATATACACCTGCAATATACAAATATGTATGCTTGTATACATGTATAAGAAAGAAAGCAAATCTCGTTAATGCTCATTAATGATCTAGAACTGCTCCATAGGGTTTCCAAGGCTGTGACCTTCCATTTACAAATAATCATGTAAAAATATTTTATTATTTATTTTGCTAGATCACATTTTAAAGTGTGATTATTTAAACAACAGCATTTCTGATTTACAATATCCTTCTGCTTGCATTAAATGAACATGATCCTAGGAGCTTCAATAAGATAGACGAGTTCGACAATAGCCAGTGCCCTCGTGTCAATTCTCACTCATTGTGACCCTAGAGGACAGGATAGGACTGTCGCACTGAGTTTTAAGGCTGAAAATTTCCCACAAGCAAACTGCCACCGCTTTCTCCCATTGAGCTGCTGGTAGATTAGAGCCACTGACCTTTGGGTTAGCAGCCAAACACTTTACCACCATGCCCTCAGGGCTCTTGAAGTAAACAATGGCTACACTTTATTTAATATATCTCTATCATGGGTCCAGACTTAACTTCAAACCATGCCAGTTTTACATAGGTTTTGACAATTATAAGACCGTTTTAAAAAGAATATACTCAATATATGACCACGATGACTGAACTTATGTACATAGCAACAAGGGAAAACTTCATCAGATTTAACCCAAAGTAAACCAAGAATTGCAATTAAATTTCATGTAGCCACAAAAACACCTAAAGTAAGAGAAATCCCCTGTCCGGAATGACAAATTCATTTCGAAAATAGCTTTTCAAGTCATGTTCAACTCAAGAGATATATATTGTTTAACCGAGTCAAAGTCAAAGCCACATACCTCCCTGAAAAGTATGGCAAATGTAATCCCCAAAAGGCATCTCTTTCCACAGCCAGAGCTTTCTATTTCCTGCAATGTTGAGATTCGTCTCGCTGTATCCAGTTAATGGAAGCATTCTGATGCCTCGCCTTTGGAAGACTTGGTTTTTTTGGCTAGGACGGCTGGTGTCCGGTGCGTTCAAGGTTGCCTCGTGTATTGAACTTGCCTAGCAGAAGCCTATTTTGAAAGCAAACCCTGGATGCAAATTGAAAGTGGATACCGGCTAAAGAATGATGTCACCCTCAAGCCCCTGCAAACCCTACCTATACAGACGGGAATTCTGGCCTCCGTATATGAGCGAAGGGCTCCTTGATCAAGTGACAACACCACCAGCTGAGACATGAGATCGGATTCACTGACTATCGTAGGGGGTCTCACGGCAATGACAGTAAATTATTTCTTGAAACAAATGGAGACTCATCTCTACAAAGTCTGAGACTTGCAATGTTTGTCCCTCAAATCTGACATTTCTGGTTAGAAGCACCTTTGTTTTGAAATAGAATGGAGTGCTCTGGGCAGGTAGTGCCACATAGAAAGAGGATCAGTGGAGGCTTTTTCCTAGCAGTGACAAGGGGCTAATCAACTCCAATTGAAAAAATACACACACACACACACACACACACACACACACACACACTGCCAAACGTTCCTAGGCAAATTCCATCATCTTTTCATTTCATTTCCCACAAACTTTTTGAAGCCCTCCTCTTATATATCTATTTATATGTACATCTAGACATAAATATATATACCATGCCACCTTTACTTGTGTAAAGCAAATGTGCTAGTCATTGCATTCCTTGAGGAAATCTTGTCTTAACAGAATGCTTGCTCTCCACTGTTCAAATTTACTTTTAAAATAGGAAGGGGAAGCCTCTAAGTTACTCTTTGAGTCAGTAGAATAGAAACGAGGTTCTCAAATTACTCTTAGAAAGCCACATCTTTATTTACTTCAAAAAAAATAACTGTGGAAGAGATCTAAAGAACTAGCACGACCCCCTCCCCCAAAAAAGAACTACAAATTAGACATAAAGCTGAGAAGCCTATCCAAATGTGGTGCTGCCTATAACCGTTTTGTTACTTTAAATAAGAGCTCAATCGTTTAACTACCCACTCAGCATCAAAGTCCAAATGCAATGTGCCTTCTAGAAATACTAGTCAAATGGCTTATCTAGGAGGGTTTTTAAGTCGTTTATTTTTTTATTTTTAAAATTGGGAACAAATGCCATGTATTTTTACCTGAAACTCCTCCATAGATCTCTTCTGCTATCCTAGCCGCTTCCTTCCTATTTCCTTTGACGATATAAAAATGGGTTAGGAGAGCCAGAAAGACTTTGATTAAAAGCTTGAAGAAAAAAAAGGTAGCAAACATTGTAATAAAAATGTTTTTAAAGCCATAGAAAGCAGGATCATCGTCCATTTTGGCTTACTCTGTATCGGTTTCCCTGGCTGCAACAGTTCAGAGTTATAATTGGTATCACAGGACATCTATTTAAAACCTTCTAGCACTCCGCGCTCTTATTACTGAGAACTCAGTTCGCGAATTCTAATCTAACTGCAATTTGGCGACTGTGTGTGCTGACAGCCACGGCCAATGCCAAATGCACTAGAAACTCTTCCTTCAAACCAGAAACAGCCTATTGTTCTCGAACCATAGGACTGAATAAGTACTATGTCAGCAAAGGGATTCCCATCCACATCTTTTTAACACCTAAACGTCTCTTTTTGCTACATAGTGTTTGAAGGTTGGGTTGGAAAGAAGATATCAACTTCTCAGATCCTCTGCTGGGCATGAAGCAAGCTATTTGACATTCATGCAAAGCAGGGCCATGACGGATTGAATTGTGTTGGAAACCTATACCACATTTATGGCTGTCATCCTGTTTAGAAATAAGGGCGTTTTGTTGTTAGGCTTATGAAATCTAATCTAATCCCACCTAAAATATTAAAAGAGCAGGTCAATCCCACCTAAAATATTAAAAGAGCAGGTCAGACCCATTGACAGGCACACACAGGCAGACAACTGCCCGCTGGGAAGCACCAAGGAGCACTGGGTGCCTGGGCTACTGACAAGGGAGAAATCAATGAGGCTTAGACCCTGAACGAAGGAGGTCTGTTTGCACAGTGGTTAAATGGTCAGTGGTTCAAATCCACCTGCCAGCCAAGGGAGAAGGCCATCTGCTTTCATAACCATGAGAACCCTGCAGGGCAGCTCTACTCTGTCCTATAGGGCCACTATGAGTTGTGATCAACTCAATGGCTGTGGGTTAGGCGCCAATTTGGATTTTTAGCCTCCAGAATTCGCTTGTATTTATGTTATAGCCACACTTGGCAATTAAGACAGGAGCAAAGACCTCCCTATGCGCTTAATGGGAAATCGTATTCCATGTAACATTTCATTTGCTCTTTCTCCCGACATTTATGGAAGAGAAAGTCCAACCCTAAGCTATAACCAGTTCCAAACTGCTGTCTACTCAATGTAAAGGTTGTGTGGACAGGAGGGCCCCTCTTGGATGCCACTCTAAGAGGAGTCACACTAGAAACAATAGCTCGCGGAAAAGCAGGTCCATTTGTGACCAGACTCTGCAGCAGGGCTCCTGATGATTCATTTTCCATTTCAAGTGACATTTTACATTTCCACAAAAGCATGGTCTGTCCCCACATAATGAAGTCCATGCTGTGGTTAAACAAAATGTCTCAGGTCCTGAATGTAGGACCCAAATCATCAAGGCATCTTCCCTCCCCTAGCTGGACAGCGTTCAGATGCACTTGTCACTGTTCAATAGGCCTCAGCTGGCCAATGGGAGTGCCATGGGAAGACTGATATTCCTCACCACCATCTAGGTCTTGGCTCCATTTACTCAACTCATTGCCATCGAGTCAAGAGTCAATATTGATTCACAGCAATCCGACAAGACAGGGTAGAAATGCTTCTGCTTCTATGGGTTTCTGAGACTGTAACTCTTTATGGAGTACAAAGCCTTGTCTTTTTCCCATAGTGCATTTGGCGGTTTCGAACTTCTGACCTTGCGGTTTGCAGGCTGTCTACAATCTATTGAGAAAGATAGGCACAAATGAAATCCTAAGCACAGATAAAATAAAATCTTCCTTAATAACGAAAAACCCAAATCCAAACTCACTGCCATCAAGTCGATGCTGACTCATTGTAATTCTATAGGCCATGGCAGAATTGCCTCTGTGAGTTTCCAAGACTATGACTCTTTATAGGAGTAGAAAGCCCCATCTTTCTTGCTCAGAGAGGCTGGTGGTTTCAAACAGCTGACCTTGTGGATCACTGCCCAAGGCATACCTACTACACCACCAGGGTGCCAATGCTTTATGCAAAAATAGGGCATATTTTCCTAGTGTTCAGCAAATGAGGATGACTACTGATATAAGACATTCCACTCTGCTCAAAAAAGCTGACAGGGAGAAAACCACCTGGAGCTGCAATATCTAAGCCCTCCATCTTGAGGTCTCACATACCGTAAAGCTCTTGTTCTGTCTGGCTCTCAAGGAAGGAACATTAACAGAAGCTTAGCTTTACTGAATTTCAAAGACCTAGCCAGTGCACAAGAATAGCCAGAGAAACTTATTTCAGTGTTTTTGCACTTCCCATGTTGCCTTCCTCAATTATATCCTAGGAAGGAACTCAGATCAGTGAAGCGTATTATAACCATTGTACTGGACATGACTCGAGCTTGTTTGGGTGTTTTCACTTAAAACAGAGTGATTGGTTTTTTTTGGCATACCGGAAGAGGTGGTGTTTTAAATCCAGATTTGCTCATGCAATCATGGTAGCTGGAAAGTCTAAAATCCATAGGTCAGGTGACAGGCTCCAAACAAGCAGATCAGGTATTGACAGAGAAAGGCATGGGGCAGGATGTCCATTTATACTCTGAAGGAGCCTCCTCCCTTGGGAAACATCACTATTTTGGCCTGTTTTTATCTGGATACAGGGGCAAGCCAAAAGTATCCTTACTAGGGTTCCAGTTCATACACGTATACAGGTTCATTCCAAACAAAATGTGTTCAAACATGTTTCTGTAATCAGTGGCTGACTGCAGACAAGTTCTCTCAGTACTACAATTGTCTTAGTCTCATCGAGCGTTAAAAACAAAAAGTCCATTTAAAACAGTGACTCCCCATCAAGACTCAATGTGTTAACCCCACTAAGTGAACTGGGATTTACCTCAAGCTCACCTGTAGCCAGTGGACTGATGGCTAAAATCCCCTAGTGTGAAGAGAAGAGATGACTCATAGCCCAAGGCCATAGAACTGGCAGACATTGGACCTTGATTCTAACCTCTGGCCTTGAGGGTGCCCAATGACTGGTAGCCTGGAACTACCATATATGTACTGTTTTATGCTTCATTATGACATGTAATAATCTGGTAGGCATGGCTCTGCTGTGGTGAATGAATATTATTACAAGATTTGCCCTATCACCAAGCCCCATTTTGTGTACATAGTGTCCAGTCACTTAAAGAGTTTAATCTGTACATGTCAACAATTCATATATTGTGCTTCACAGTTGGCTTATACTTGTATAATTTCCTCTTCTCAACAGTGTTTCACATTCTATACTATTGGCTAAACTAATAACTATCAATGTGTAGTGGTTATGTATTGGGCAGTTAACTGCAAATTCAGCAGTTCAAAACCACGAGCCAGCTATGCAGGGGAAGAATGAGGCTTTCTACTTCTGTGAAGATTGGCAGACTCAGAGACTCACAGAGGCAGTTCTACTCTGCCCTGTAGGGTCACTATGAGTCAACATTGACTCCATGGCAGTGGAAGTGATGCCCCAGGAGGATGATTGATACGGCTCTCTAACAGAAAATGACAATTATGTCTCTAAGGTGAACCAGAGACATACATAAATCATAGAAGCAGGAATGGATTTTGGGCTTGCACCTAATTCTAGCTGCCAATCTAAGAACAACTGGTTCTTATGACATGGCCCTGCTTGATGCTCGCCCTCATGAAGAGTTCACTGAAGATATGGGTGCTAAAGCAAAGTGTGATGAAGAAAATAGAGGGTGCCTGGCTATCAGAAAGAATAGCTTCTGGGGTTGTATAGACTTGTTTTCAAATGAGCATACCAGTCTGTGGAATCAAAGGATTGTAATCCATAGCACTGATAAAACATACCACATTCCTCTAGTTCTTCAATGTTTCCTCGCCCCCACTATCATGACCCCAGTTTTACCATACAAATCCGGCTAGACCAGAGCATGTACCTGATACACATAAGAGCTTTCAACACCACACGGAATCCAG